AACAGTCAAAAATAAACAGTAAATAAATAAAATAGTTTTTTTTTTTATAATATATTAAATTAAACAAGTTAATAAACTCAAAACCTAATTTAATGTTTATATTACAATTATATCTTTCTTCCTATATACTTCAACATCTTATGCAAAATAAGTGAATTTCAGGTATAATATCTTTCAATCATATCTCATAATGACAGTAAAAATATCGCTAAATTTCCATTTGCTGAATATGAAATACTCTTTCAGTATAAATACATTAAATATATATTCTATTATTAATCAATTCTATAGAGATCTATACATATATTTTTTCATATATATAAAAATCTTTCTGTACTCAGAATAATTTTATTGACTAGAATTTTATTTGTAATATCCATATAAAATAGTTTTCATAGAATCTATGATAATTTAAAATTTATAATATATAAAATTTAAAATGAGAAATATTTATTTTAAAATGTTGGTACTTTAAGATTTCTTATTTGATTCGCTTCATATTATTAAATTTAATTTTGGTATCTCAAGGGATTTTCTATATTATAATTGTGTTATAGATATTACTCAGACTTTTTAAATGTAATTTAAGCGTCACATAATTTATATCAAATTCAAAATACCTTCATTCAATGTACATACAAATTATTAATATTTAAATAGAGCCATATTTAATTTTTATTTCATTTCTCCACCCACTTTGCATGCAGTCAAAATGCCGACTGATTGGTATCCAAAGTGCGATAAGCTTCTAAATTGCATATTGCAGCAACTTGGGCCAAGCCCTGGCCAAACGGCAACAGCAACAACAACGAGAGCCAGTTGCTTACCAACCTGGTAAAAGTGCATTCACGCATAAACATTTAAACACACATATTCAGAAAAAAATAAAAAATAAAAAAAAAAGAGATGAAAAAAAAAAAACTCGGCACAGAGTTCATAATTAAGCGCCAGAATGCCAGAAATTGTGCTGCCTCAGTCGGCGACGTGGGTTAGATGCAAAAATATTTGTTTATCATATCGCGATAATTGCCGCCGGCGCTCGCTGGCCCAAGCTCGAGCCCCAGCCCGAGCCCGAGCCCAAGCCAGAGCCAAAGCCAAAGCCCAGGCCAAGACAGTCCAGGAAGAGGACAGACTGGGCAGAGCAAAGAGGAGAAAGAAAGAAAAAAATATAAACAACAGARCTAACGTGTGCCGATCGCCTTTGAGTTGGGAGTTCAAGTCGGCAACGGAGACGACTGTGGATGAGGATCAAAGCGTGCCTCGGTGGTGGGTACAAGTTTATTGGCGTGGCGCATGTGCAAATGGCTGCATGGGCAGGCCACTGCAGTCGGGTCCAGGCAACGGCAACGGCACCGGCAACCTCTGGCCCGCTGCTCCAAAAATGTGGGCGTGTGACACTTGAGCTGCTATCGCTAGCGAATCTCTGCCTAAATGCTGCAGCAAAAAAAAAAAAAAAAAAGGAAAACAAATTATTGATAAGCAGATCGCCCGTTCGTTGCACTGCAAGAAATTGTGATGGCCACACAGTCAGACAGTTGATTGCAGGCCATACGATTTCGCTCAGTGTACGCTGATCGCAAAGAAGTATCGCTGTAGGTGCAGTTGCCCCTTATCAGAGATGAAGCGCGGCACACGTTGGTCCAGACGCTGCCTCTGCTGCCTGTGCCTCTGGTCCTGTCTCTGTTGAATGAAGAGCTGAAGCACACACATTGATGCTGATTGCTGTCTGTTAGCTTTGGCTCAACGTTTCGGGTTATGTAAGCCAATATGATGAGGTCGTTGTGTGCAATATCTGCCTTGCAAAACAGCCGCTGCGGTAGGTATGAAACAGGTATGCAGAATCTTGAATAAAGCAAAATTAGTAGCCAAACAACAATCAATAAGAAAATGTCAATTTAGAATTCACTTACTAAATTAAAATATATTAAATACGAAAACGCTCATAATTGTCATATTTGAAATTATATTTTACATTAATTAAATTACGCGCGTAATAGTGCTGCAATCTGTACACTGTTCACTTTCCAGCACTAAAATATCGATATATCGATTCTTTGCATTGCCTCTTCTATTCAGCTATCGATACGTCTATGCATCAATATTTGTGTTCAGTACGTCGGTAAGTCGGTATGGTGAAGAACGTGAAGACGCGCGCTGATTTTTCCCCGACAAAATAATAAAGTTTAACCTGAGTAAAATATTAATTAAACCGTTCTGAAGATTTTCATTACAACAAATAACAATATGGACTTCGATGGCACACAGTCGTTGAGCAATATTTTACAGCCGGAGGAGTTGCAACTAGTGCCAGACAATGTTCAAGTAAAACTGACGGCATTCATTGAAAAATTTTCCGATGAATATTGTAAGGAGCGAGCTGCAGCAAATCGCCTAGGTAAGTAAGAGTAACATTTTTATGAGCTTAACAATTGCTCTTTTATTTTTACTTACGCTAAGAAAAGCCGGCACATATAAAAGTCAGAAAAGCGCTAAGTAGAAAAATAAAAATGACAGCTAATAGGGACACACTGACATTAGAGGAGAGAACTATGGTTCATTTTGAATTATACTCGCAATTCATATACTTACTTGGCTCTCACTGATAAATGTTTCCAGTTACAAATTTGTTTTTTTTTATTTATTTATTATTAGAAACAATGAAATTGTATCAATTTTTGGGCAATACTATACTTCATTTAAAAAAAAAAAAAACTGCTAGTATTCCGTTTCATTAATGAACTTGGAACTAGTCAGTTTGTTTATTTGATGACTCGTTCATTTAAATGACGGGACTTTAGTTAATATGTACACACTTGCCAGATATATTGCAATTTTCGCTTGTACGTCGCGTCAAAAGTTGTGCAAAATTGTTTTTTGTGTATAAAATTGAGAAAATAAACGAATTAAATATTGCATTGAAAAATTAAGATCATTCCAATTATGGATCTCAGTGGTCCGCAATCGCTGGAACAAATTCTTGCGCCGGATGAGCTGGAGCAGCTGCCAACCGGCGTGCAGCAAAAACTTAAATCGTATATAGACGGATTTTTTGATGAATATTGTAAAGAGCGAGCCGCTGCGCATCGTCTCAGTGAGTAACGTGGTCTTAATAAGAAATTATTAAGCTATTATAAATGTGCATATATATTTAATGTTACGTTTCCACTGTAACCCAAATATCTAAAATGTGCCCTAAATTTCTTCTTCCTCTTCCTGTCAACAGCTGAAACAGAACAAAAGAATGAGGAGCTGCAAAGCCAACTACTCGATAACCAGGTGAAGTTTACTAACTTTGAGCAAAATGTAGCCGAGTTGCGCAACCAGCTGGATCAAGTGTCTGCCGAGCGTGATCAGCTGCTGGAATCTGTTAAGAATTACGATCAAAATTTGACCACATTGCGCAAGGAGAAGGTGTCTTTTGTCGATGAGCGTGACTCACTGCTGAAGGTGATCGAGCGGCAGAATGGCGAGTTGGAACGCTTGAAGCAGGATCTGCAGACTTATCAGCAGCAGCTAAGGGCTGCCATCACAGCCAAGTGTGAGGCTATCGCCCGTTTGGATGAGGTGCAGAGCAAGGAGGTATCGCTGGATATCAAAGAGCGGCGCTTGGAGAGCGAGCGTGCCATGTTGCAGAATGAGATTCAAGTGCTCAGCAGCGATCTAAATCGCAACAATGCCGAGTTACAGAATCTGCGACGTGACCATGCTATGAACACCATGCACTTGGAGGTG